TACTCATACTGCAGAGCATACATAAGCCATGAGCAAGCCCAACACTCACCCATGAAACCCTGTCCCGGACTGACCTCCTCCCCACAGGAGCCTTCACAGACCCAGCAAACAGCAGCCCCTGCCCAAATAGCTCAAGGTTTGGGTCTCTTCACTGAGGAACACGATGAGGGAAGAATCAGATCCCAGCTTCAGGTGTCCATGTGGAAAGCTGTCTCATGCAGAGACAAGGTGTGGAGACAGCTAAACTAATGTAGTGTTGGGGTTTGTGGTGGGATCCTTCACAGAGCAAAGAAATTAAATGGTCAGATCCCCTCAGAGCCCTTCAGGAGCTACCTGCTCATCATAGCACTGTCACAGAGGTTCTACAATAAATCATATAGCACTAATGATCGTCAGACTATTTACCCATGGAAAATTGCTTTAATGCTACCTCACTGCATTAATGACAATCCATTAATTAATTCATATTACTGAACACTGGCCTTGCTTTGCTGCTAGGCTAGAAAGACTTTGTTCAAACCCAAGTAGGAGAGCAGTGCTTAAGCCCTCTCTGAAACATTGATGGGCACAAGGACCCCAGGTACCTGAGGGCCAGCAGCCACCAGCGCTTATTCACTGTGATGTTCCTGAGCAAATGAGAAAGCACAAGGCTGCTCCAAGCTGGAAAGATCTTTGTGGAAAGAGGGAGCAGGTCCCTTTGGAGATCCAAACCATTACTGCATCTCACCCAGAGGAGACCTTCAACCTTGAAGTTCCATTGAACTGTCCCTTGTCTGACCCAGGAGCAGAAGCAGATTTGTGGCTGGCTGGCCATGCTGCTCCTACAGGGTACAGATAGAGGACAGCAAGTTTCTGATGCTCAACCACTGTGCTGTTGAGTTTTCCAGGGTAGTCAGAGAAGTCTGGAAAGCTTTTACGCCCTTTCCTTCTGCAAAGGTAGGAGGTTATTGATTCTGTGCTAAAGCAAACAAAAAAAATCAATTTGAATTTCTTACAGAGAGGCTACTAATGTAGTAGATCACTTGATACAGGAATAAATTCATGATAGTGTCAATCACTTAACTGGCCAGCAAGCCAGTGATACCCACAAAGCAATGGTTAGAAACTACAGGTATTTAAACATAGCAGGAATTCAACTGCCAACAAGATCTGAGGGGTGACTAGTTACACAGGAAAGAGCCGAGATGGGATATTTTATACCCCAGATTGAAGACAATATCCTATGCCTGGGAGCTGAAACCGGGTGCTTTCAGCCTCAAAACAAGCTGCAGTTTCCCAGCTTGGTGGGAGATTAAACACTGAAAGAACAGGGCAGTCTTTAAAAAGAGATCTTCCTTTTGGCAAGATTTCACCTCCATCCAGGGGAAAAGTCCTTTGCAAGCACAGGATCACATCAGCCTTGATGTATCTCGGAAGTGCTGCACATAGTCAATAGATGGAGAAAAATGAATCTCCAGAAACCCCCTGAGCAGGTCACAACCAGAGGTAAAATGAGTAAGGAAGGAACGAAGATCTCCTGAGCACAGGCTTTCCAATGTCACACATGTCGTTGGAGGCACTGGGATGCTCACAATGCAGAGCCTTCCATAGGATCTTGATCTTACCACATCGACAGAAAAAGCTCAGCACACCCAGCTCTGCCCCACAGCAGCCTGGCTCCCTGGGGCAGCCAAGTCTCTGAAAATCCCTGAAACTTCAAGAAGTGGCAGATGATAACCTTAATCCACAGCCAGGAGGAACTGCAGCACTGATTTTAATGGAAACAGAATTAGATCAACTCCAGCTACCAGGGAAAATCTTCCCCAATAACTGTTATTATAATGCAAATCTCTATGGCACCAGCCACCAGCATATACAAGTTCATTAAAATGGCAAAAATCCTGCAGGGGAAGAAACATTCTTTCCTCCTGGTATAGAGCAGTAAATGAGGAGATGGTAGTTGAAAGAACTCACCCTTGGTTTCCCCAAGTGTCACAGCAAACCAGCGCACTCTCCAGCACCATTTTCCACCTCAGAAAGGAGCCAGCCCCTCTCATTGTGCTCAGGAGCAAGCAGGGAAATACAGAGCATGTTGTTAAAAAGGGAAGAATCACTCCTACCTAATAGCAACCCCCAGCCCCTTTTTTAAATGACTTGTGGGTCAGGTGTGACACTGAAGTGATATAGATGTGAGGGGAAATGAAAGCAAACAACACAACGCGGCGTGGTGAGGATTAGCAATTATACACTCAGGAAGCCATGATAATTAGAAGCTTTTAAAGAGAAGGGTTAAAGGACTTTGAAAACACAGATGGAAACTGATTTTAACAAGCAGTGGTAAGTCCCAGAGCTGGAGAGGCATTCAGCAGTGCAATGTCCTATGCTGGCACCTCCAGTACGACAGGGTACAGCTCCAGCCAAGGCTGTGTTACACCAGCAGCCACCTGCCACTGCCTGAGTGCAAGCCACTGATTAGTCTGATTGATATTCTGGGGAATATTGTGGTATTAAAATGAATAATGATGCAGCCAGGACTGGTAAAGGATTATTCCTTCCATAACAGTGAGAGCTCTTTGTGAGAGCCCAAAACCGCTGGGTCATCTGATCGCTCAGAAGTGGCCCATCACCAGTGGCTCAGGGAGGAGGAATTGACATTTCCTTAATGACGACATGTAATGCAGCAGCTTTTTGCTCTAGTCAACAGAGACCCAGGCTGTTAGAGAGGGATGGATAATAGCTCACACCTGAAGCAGGATTTTCTTCTTTTCCCAGGCAAACGGAAGCGCACAGCAGAGAGTGAAACAAGTCACAGTCAATTTGCTTGTTCTTCATATATGGTTATGCTCATCTCCTTTCCTGCTTAAGTCAGGGAAGCTCAAAACATGGATGTGGATGTGTGAAATGGGTTCCTTTAAGTGTGGTATGTGCCTTCTTAAAAAGGGCACGTGAAAGCCATAGAATCATACAATAACAGACTGGTTTGGGTTGGAAGGGACCTTAAAGCTCACCCAGTTCCAACCCCCTGCCATGGGCAGGGACACCTTCCACTAGAGCAGGTTGCTCAAGCACCTTTAAGAATTAAAAAACTATATATGAATCTAAGAAACTGACCAGAGCTGGTTCACTTTATCCCCAAATGAACACTAACTTTGAGGTAGTTCTTGAGGTTTATTGCACTACCCGAGAAAACCAGGTCATGTAAAATGAAAAAGCCCACTGTCCTGGGTTCAGCTACAGCAGTCATTTTTTCTCCTTCTTAGTAGCTGGTGCAGTGCTGTGTTTTTTACTTTCAGTCTGGGAACAACGCTGATAACACCGATGTTTTTAGTTGTTGCTAAGTAATGTTTACTCTGACCAAGGACTTTCTCAGTCTCATGCTTTGCCAGAGAGGAGGGGAAGCCAGGAGGAAGCAGAGGCAGGACACCTGACCCAAACTGGCCCTCAGCAGAGACTTGTTCACTCTGTACTTGTCATAGACCATTATTTTCACTTCCCTGAGTTGTGCTTCATGAGGAATACTACAGGGAGCAAACATGACTGTTGGTGAATTGTACTGCATGGGGCTGTGAGCTGGAAACAAGGACTGCAAACACGGAGCTGTGACAGGTAATGTTCCCTCACACAAGCTCCTCATCCTAAACGGGTATGCAACATGGAGAAAAGTGCTCCTGAGAAGCACAGGAGGGGACAAAGCTGCCCAGCGATCACAGGAGATGGAGACCCAGAGCCCAAGAGCTGCTGACCTCCTGCTGACGCCCCATCCTGTCCTTGCCAGCAGCCTGTTCACGTCGTGGTACACCAGCAATAGGTGGACATCATTTTTGACACAATAAACCTTAAGAGACCTGAGCAGGAGCCTCCAGACTCCCCTGAAGCACAAGTGCAATTGCTCCGAGTAATAAACCTTGCAAAGGCCAAGCCCTGGTGTGATGCTCAGGATGCTGCAAAAAGGCTGAGGCTGGATACAGCAGCTGGGGTGAGGTGGCTGAGTTCTGTCACCATACATCCCATGCAGCACGCCCAGCTTCACCAGCCTGTCTTACAGGTCTTGAGGGATTACAGGGGGACTCAGACTGGCAGCACCCAGAAGCATGAACTAAAGCCTATCTTGAAGTTTAATCATTTAATGAAAATGTAAGTTTCAATATTTCATTAGCATCTCCTATCTGTTAAACATCATCCCAGAGAGTTTGGTGACACTTTAAAAGAAGCTGTGAAGAGATGCCTTTGTTTCAGATGTAATTGGACAGCTGTTTTATTATGAATTAATGAACTATGAAGATTAAAAAGAACCAGTTTTAGCAAACCATGTATTAATAATTACTCCTAACTAAAATCACAACTAAGCAAGTGTTAGACAACTTTCATGGCAACAATTGGAAGCAGAAGATGAAAAAGCAAAATCAGTGAGGTTCAACGGACAAGAGGTGCCTCCAGGCCAGGCTCATGTACCAGGCACGGGTTCCCTGGGCTACCCTGCCTCAGCCATGGGATCCCACAAAGGGCTGGGGAGGGAGAGGGGATAGTGATGGCAGCAGGCTCAGAGGTAGAGATGATGGACCTCTTGGTGGTTGCAAAATATACTCCAGACTCTTCTTCCCCATGCCCTCAGTCTCTTTTGGCCAAGGCTGTCTGCCCTGCAGGCACTCCAGGGAACGGGATGCTCTCCGATGTAGGGCTGCATCCTTCCTGGCTGTGAGGTGACAGCAACAAGGCCATGCTGAGCATCAGTGGTACCACAGAAAGCTGACCCTGAGCTGAGGAGTCCTGCATTTGTCCTTCCCAAACTTCCCGCTTTAGAAGAGATGTCTGTGCTTCAGCTGAACTTGGCGCCAATGACCAGAGGCCACAGAAAGCAGCTCTTGGAGTTTCCCACTTCCTATGGAGCAGTTTTAGAGCAGTGAAGTCTTTGTCCTGAAAGAGTTTCAGTGAAAAAGCTCAAAAGGGTTAAATGAAGACAGGTACATACACCACATGTGCAAACCACTTATCTTCTGCTGCCAAAATAAATCTGTTCCTGATCATTGTGGCTTCCCAACAGCTGCCTCCTGCTCTTTCTCCACCTCAGCCCTCCATTTGGCTTTCTTTTCTATGTTCATCCTCAGCAGCGTTTGATCCTTTTTAGCGGCCTTGAAAGGAAATGGTGAAAATCATTGCACACACACATTCCCTACCACTGAATTTCCCCACATTTGCACCACTGCCTTTGACACCCCACTGTCCCTTTTTATATGTTGCAGTGACAGAAGTTAATGTGTTTCCTTGTTTTACCAATTTTTCACCATTTGCAGCTCTGGTTATCAGGAAACCCACACAGGTAAGTGTTTACAGGTACACTGAGGCATGCAAATCAGGCTGGAGACCCTCCTCACCCACCAGTAGGGTGGGAAGATTGAATGACACAGCTCTTGGTGGCTGTAGTGGCACAGGCTAGGCAGGCAGGACCAAGGGAGCTTCATGGTCCCCAGATGCAGGGCAAGACCAGGCACCATTGACACTGCCTGAGCTACTCCACCTTTGGACCAGCCTCTTGCTGAGATACCACGATAGAGAGCACTGTTCTGCACAGGTTCATGGCAAAGTGGGTCAGAAGGAACACATTAACCAGCACATTAACCAGTTGTGCTTCCCAGGTACTTACTTACAAAGAGAGCATACATAGACCATACATTAAGCAGGTTGGTTCACCGGGAAACGATACTCACTTCTTTGCCTGTGATGACCATGGCCAAACAGCCCAGCACAGTCAGTGCAATCATGATGTAGCAAACCTTTATCCTGACATTGCTCCTTGCTGCCTCAAGGAGCTCAGACCTGTGGAGGACAGAGCAGAGTTTCCATCCTGCAGCAGCATGTGTGAAATGAGACCATGGGGAGCTGAGTAATGTATCTTCAAGTCTTCCAGCAACTGTTTATTAATGTGCAATGTGTTTCAGCCTCCTCTTTCTGCAAGTTCTTACAGGAGGACTAAAAAAATTAGCTTCTAGGGGAAAGATTTAGTCACCCTCCCACACAGGCAGGGTATTGCTACTCCCAGCGGTCATCAGGAACAACAGGAATAACAAATCCTGCTCAATAAATTGCATATAAGATACAAAGCCACATGTCTTGCAAACGACACTTCAGCTTAGTCTGAAATGTATGGTACCTGAAACAGTTTACTTCACAGGACATGACAAAACGTTCATATTCCCCAAAAATTGAGGTTTACCAGCAGCAGTAGGGCCCATCAGCACGGAGGAGCATGAAGCCCACCACATGAGCACCACTCTGGGTAATGCTGACTGGGAGCTCAAGCTGTACGTTCACATTCAAAAGCATCATTCAGGGAGGGCTACTTACGATATGTGCTTGGGGATGTCCTCCTCCTTCTTAAAGCGTCCTGCCCACACTAACACCTTTTTATCAAAGTTTGTAGGTTTTCTGTCATGTTGGAAAGCCTTGTAGCCTGCAGGACATTTTGTAAAAGAAAACAATGAGCTGAGCTTAAAGGGAGCTTTTCCTGTCCTTTACAGAAAAAGGAGTACAAGTTCAGAATGGCACTTTTCTATTCTCTGAGAGCCAAATGTACTTTCTCATGTCAGAAGGAGCCAACAGCTGGGGTGAGAGGCTTTGCTACACTTGCAGCTTATTTCATTTTGCCTTTTTGTTGTTGTTTCTTTCAGTTAGGTAAGTTTTAAACTAAAAATCTCTTCTAACCTTCCTGATGAAAGGTGAAAGGATGCGTGGCTGAAGCCACCCAAGCCCGCAGCATTGCTCTCACCCTGCAAGCATCTTGCTTTTAAATGGCCCAACTAGTGAGTCAAGCAAACTGCCAGCGGCATTAACAACTTGACAGCATCTCCTTCTGCAAGCACTGATGGAGGGATGAGGTCTGTTAAAATACAGCCTGGTGGGAGGCTGGAAGTTGTTCTCATGCAAGCTGGGTACCGCATTACTGTACTCTAATGATGATACATTACACCCCACCAGACTACCACAGTGATGCCATTAGCATGCTGTCACCCTGCGCGGAACGAGAAAGGCACTCTGGCTCCTCTTGCTGGAAATAAGCCCAATGACAGGCCACGACAAGGGCAGTGGTAGGGCGACTGCAAAAACAGGGTAATCGATGGCTAGCTCAAATCCTGGCTATTGCATTGCACCCCTGCACAGTGGCCACCGCAGGGGACCTGGGACCACTCACACACCCAGGTAGGTGATTGCGAATGCGGGACTGGTGTTGAGAAATGCCCCAAGGGCAACCAGGGCACGCAGGGAGGAATGGACATAAAGCTGGCCCTAGTCTCAGTGTCCTGCACTGGGTTGGTGCTGGGCTGTTGTTGGTGCTGGGCTGAAAGGAAATCCCTGCTGCTACAGAACAGAGCAGAGGGAGCATCTCTTCCTGCCAGTGCTGAGATCATGCAATTACACGCAGGTCCTCAGCCCCAGGCCTGCTCATGCGTGCCAGGACTTGTGAGGGGCTGAGAAATCCCAGTTGTAAATCCTGGCACCCAGATCCCAGGTAAATTTAATTTCCTGCTTCTTGTGTTTCTCCTATAGAGAGTGCCAGTGAGACCAAGAGCTACATCTGCAACATCAGCAAGTGGCTG